AAATGTCTGTCAAATACAAGTTCCAGCTCGGGCGAGCAAAATCAGCACAGCCCTTACACAAATTAGGCAAAACGCCAACTTTTTCGTCGGGCGAGCAATATCAGCTCGGCCCGTAGGAAGTTGGGCAAAACGCCAATATTTTACACAGGCGAGCGAAATCAGCTTGGCCCTCTCAATTTGGTCAGAACACCAACATTTTACATGGGCGAGCAAAGTCAGCTCAGCCCTTTGCAATTTGGGCAAAATGCCAACATTTCACTCGGGCGAGCAAAATCAACTCGGCCCTTACAAGTTGGTCAGAACGCCAACATTTTACACGGGCGAGCAAAGTCAGCTCGGCCCTTTGCAATTTGGGAAAAATGCCAACATTTCGCTCAGGTGAGCAAAATCAGCTCGGCCCTTACAAGTTGGTCAGAACGCCAACATTTTACACGGGCGAGCAAAGTCAACTCGGCCCTTTGCAATTTGGGCAAAATGCCAACATTTCACTCAGGCGAGCAAAATCAGCTCGGCCCATAAGAAAGTTGGATAAAGCGTCAACATTTCATTTTAGGCGAGCAAAAATTAGCTCGACCCTTATGCAAGTTGGGCAGAACACCAACTGTTTGTGCGGTTTGTCTCTACACCGGCGAGGAAAAGTCAGCTCAACCCAGTGTAAGTTGGTCTTCTTGCCCCTGGCATCCATAGTGGCCTAATATCCTTGTGATGTCATTGTACAGAAACAAATAATATAAGAAAAAAGTAGGGCTATCTTTCATTACATGTCAGCGATTTACATCAAATGCCTAATGGCTAAAGGTTCAAAAGGCTAAGTAACAAAAACGATTACATTTCAAAAGTAAAAAATCTTGAGATTAGCTGCATTCCATGGTCTGTGGATAGCTTTACCATCGAAGTCTTCTAGATGGTATGCCTCTTTGCCTGCAAGGCCAGTCACCTTATACGGCCCTTCCCAATTTGCACTGAGTTTGCCTTCGCCAGAGATCACCATGTTGCCCATAACCTTTCTCAATACCCAGTCTCCGATCTTGAATAGCCTCGGATGCACGGCCTTGTTGTATTTCCTGGAGAGCTCTTGCTGATAGACTGCTATGTGGATCAGAGCCCGTTCCCTTCTTTCTTCAACTAGGTCAAGTTCCAAGGCCACTGCTTCATTGTTCAGGTCTGGCTGGAAACTTTCAGACCGGGTGGTTGGCATGCCGATTTCCAGTGGGATGACAGCCTCCATGCCGTAGGCCAAGGCAAATGGTGTTTCCCCGGTCGAGCGTCTTGGCGTAGTGCGGTATGCCCAGAGCACATTGGGGAGTTCTTCAGCCCACTTCCCTTTGGCTTTCTCTAGCCGTTTCTTCAGCCCATCTAGGATGGTCTTGTTTGAGGCTTCCGCTTGACTATTTGATTGAAGGTAGGCCGGTGTTGAGTTGTAGAACTCAATCTTTAACTCCTCGCAAAATTCGCGAAAGAGTTTCCCATCGAACTGAGTGCCATTATCCGATATGAGGGCCTTCGGTATACCGAAGCGAGTGATGACATTTTCCCAAACGAACTTCTTCACATCTTTTTCCTTTATGGTCGCCAATGGCTCGGCCTCAACCCACTTGGTGAAGTAGTCGGTAGCAGCGATGAAGAACTTGCTGTTGCCCGGAGCTGTTGGGAGTGGTCCCACAATATCCAACCCCCAAAGTGCGAACGGCCAAGGACTTGTAAAGGGGAGCAATTCTCTGGCCGGCTGGTGGATTTGGTGAGTAAATTTTTGACATTTTTCACACCTGCGAACGTATTTCTGCGCGTCCGCCTGCATGCACAACCACTAATAACCCTGGGAAATCGCTCGACAAGCCAAAGACATGCCCCCAATATGACTCCCGCAAATGCCTTCATGAACCTCATAGAGGAAAGCTTCCACCTTGTCGGGCTGGACGCACTTCAAATACGGCCCGGTGAAAGACTTCTTGTATAAGGCTCCAGATGGAGAGAGCCAAAACCGTTCTGATTTGGCCCGGATTTTGTTGGCCGCATTCTTTTCTTTTGGTAGAATTCTATCTTTTAAGAAGGCGATGATGGGGTCCATCCAAGATGGTCCCAAGTTAGCGTAAAGTACTTTGGACACTTCTGGTTCCTCAATGCTTGGCCGAGGTAGGAATTATATCATCAAAGGATTGGGGAAAGCTGTTTGCGTGGATGCAAGGCCGGCCAGTTCGTCAGCCGTGTTGTTTTCTTCACGGTTGATTTGTTCCACTCTTATTGCGGCAAACTTTTTGATTTCTGCGCACACCAGCGCCTGATATTTGGCCATTCTTTCATCCCTGGCTTCATACTCCCCAGAGACCTGATTGACCACCAGCATGGAGTCGCTGAATACCATAAGAGCCGATGCTTTCATTCTTAATGCACTTCTCAATCCGGCAAGGAGTAGGGATGGCAATTTGAAACCGGCCCGACGGGGACCCGATCTCCCAACCCCGATTTGAACGGGTTTTCTCCGAAAAATACCCCCGACGAAATGGGGATGGTATTCAAAAACCAATCCCCGATTAATTTCGGGTCGGGGACGGTGATAAGTGCCCAATCCCCGGCCCCGGCCCGCATGTCCCCGAACTGATCTATATATATATAATATATTTTTTTATTATTTTATTTGTTTCCGTCTCTCTTTTAACCCTCTCTCATTTCTATTTTTTTGTTTCATTTCATTAATGCCTTCTCTCTCTCTTCCCTCTACTCCCTCTCTCTCTCTCTCTCTCCCTCTCCGTCTGAGACGCTACACAGTCCATCTCCGACGATGCCACCTCCAACTAGGACGACGACGAGGAGCGCCACCTCTGACGACGACGAGCAGCAGAGAGATGGGAGGACGACGGGCGACGAGCAGATCAAGGCCAGATCAGATTCAGATCTGCCCTTTGAATTCAGACGAGCAGATCGACTTAGAGTTAGATCAGATCTCTACTCCCTCTCTCTCTCTCTCAGATCAGATCGACTCAAAAAAAAAAAAAAAAAGCAACAGATGGAAGACAAACACTTAATTCTTTTTGAGATCAAGCAAATGGTATTTTTTTAATTATATAAAATGTAAAAATAAATGTTGCTTTAATCTGCATGCATGATAATATTGACCCTGTTTCCTTAACAATTAGACAATGCATTCTCAATCCCTAGTGCACATACACAGCTCTAAGCCTCTAAGCTGTTGAAACTCTCTCTCTGGTCACCTCCATGGAAGCACAACAAAACCAATGAGACTACAAATTTTAAAATTTATTAATATTGATAGTGAAGTGATTTGGCAATAACATGGAAAAAAAAGAAATAACTCAACCTGATTTCTGTGTCATATAAAAGCTATAAAATTCAAGCTTAAAAAATGAAAATTATGAAACTTAATTTTGAGAAAGAGCATGTCATAAAGCATTACTCAATTTCAAATTTTAACTATTGTCACCAACTTAGTTCTGAATTTTCCTCAAATAGACACAAATGATAAAGGAGACAGTCTCCAATACAATGAAAAAGATACGAGATTAAGGCCTTGTTTGGGAAAGGCTATTAATTGGCTTTTTAGATTAAAATCCACAAAAAGACAAAATAGGCTAAAATAGCCAATAAGACAAAATATCATATCAAACCCATAATTATTTCACTTTTTCTCTCACAAACATCACATCTAACTACAAAAAATCCAACTATCTTCCCAAACACAAAATTATTAGCCTACTAAAATAGCCTAAAACTAAAATAGCCTACTAAAATAGCCAACTTCCCAAACAAGGCCTAAGGAAAGAGAAAAATTACAATTAAAAAGGAATAAATCACTATGGCAACCTCCCAAGTTCCCAACCTATGTCATGTAAAGCACCATGGACTTGGGTTGCAAGTTTTGGGTGTGGATACGTATGTAGAGATTGGACCTATCAAACCTCAAATTCAAAAGTATGCAAACTCGGTAAAAAATGGTCATTTTTTTTAATCTATTTTGTAAGATAATATGATGTCATATGTAACATATGGTGTCAAAAAGACATTTTACTCATTTGATAGTTACTATACAATAATATACACATATAATGATAGTGTTATATACAAAACATATAAAAAGTGTCCAATGGAAAATACCACACACATATCCCACACCTTTGTCCAAGTGTGAGGTGGGTATATGATTTATTTTGAAGAGTCCATGTAAAATAGTTCCCAACAAATACCTTCATGCATGGGTTGTAATACTTCATAGAATGCTAGGTTCTAATTGGTCCTCTCTTTCACAAATCCATAAGGAAGAAACATTTAAGGATAGGCACATTCCAGATTTATTTCTTTCCTTTCCTTTCCTTTTCAACCATTTACCTTTACAAGCCAATTACATTAAAAATATATTTTAATAGCAATCCAATAGTCATTAACATTCAGAATTCTTATACTCTGGTAGTTTTGTTTGGACAATAAGTGAAAGAAATACAAAAGCATTCAAAAATAAAACCTCCAGCTATACTATACCATAATCAAATATTATATGGGTGATCTAACTCCTTGTAATAGTGATTTCTCCATTACCTACCAGTCATTAGTGACCTGTTGCTCCTATACTCTAAAGTAGATTTACCACCATAATACTAAATTTTGCAAAGCACCACATTTAACAATATTCTAAATATATATATGCAATGTTAGACACAAGAGACTACTCAAATTACCCAAAAATAGTCCCTTTTCATTCTAAAATAAACAAGTTCAACCATTGAATGGAAATTTTAGCCAGTAATCTATTTGAAAATAACCTATCCTTTAGAAGAACTCCAAAATTATAGACTGGTTTAACTATTCAAAACACAATGAAATTTTATACCATAATAGAGAATAACTGAAATCATAAAATTATTGTGCGCAGCAATAATACAAATCCCCTTCAACAAGACCAACAAAAATATAAAAATGAAATTAGAGAGACCTAATGATAACCCAAAAAACAGATAAAACATACATAACCATCTGTGGGTAAATGATTTTAGCAACATATAGCATTAGTAAGAGCATACCTTCAAGAAGAGAGAAGCACAATCAGAGCATTTAGGAGGCTTATAAGGGTATGGCTTCGACAAGGGCGAAGACAGTGTAGACCCACTTGGAGATAGCACGTACATGTCCTCTGGAACCATTCTTTCCTTTTGCACACCTATCCACACACACAAAACAAACAAATACAACTAAAGCCACTACAAAAATACAGAGCCAAAAAAACTCAAATGAAATCAAACAAGAAATAACATAAAAATATGATCCTGAATAAAAAATAAAAACAGATTTAGACACGACACATAAATACCTACATGTGCATATACATATACATATACATATATATATGTATAAGCATTCTTTCCTTTTGTACGCCTGTCCACAAACAAAAACAATTGAAGCCACTACAACAATAACGAACAAAGCCCAGATGAAATGAAACAATAAATACCATGAATATGATCCTGACTCAAAAATCAAACGAGATTTACACATAACACAACATAGAAATACCCACATGTACATATACATATATATAAGTACAGAATTGAAGATAAGAACTGAGGCCTCTACAACAATAACAAACAAAACCCAGATGAAATCAAATGAAAAATAACATGAATATGATCGTGAATCAAAAAAATCAAAACAGATTTACACACAACACATAGATACCCACATGTGCATATACAAATACATAAGTACACAAGTGAAGATAAGAACTGAAGCCACTACAACAATAACAAACAACCCCAGATAAATTCAAAGAATAAACAACGTGAATATGATCCTGAATCAAAAAATCTGAACAGATTTACACACAACACAACATAGAGATACCCACATGTGCATATACATATATATAAAAGTATATACAAGTGAAGATAGAGAGGAGGGTGTACCGGAAGGGGACATGACGATGAGTTGGTGGGGTTTGGGGATGGAATCGTCGTGGACCTTAATTGTGATGCTACCACCAGTCCCGGAGACCCAACCCAGATTGTAGAATTGACGACAGAGCTCTGATATCAAGGCCTTTGTTTCTCTCACCGGATTGCTTTCTATATACGCCTGCGAACTTGTCGCCATTTTTGCTCCGTTCACAGCTATCGATGCTGATGCTGAAGCTGCTGCCATCTCTGGTTGAGAGAGAGAGAGAGACAGAGAGAGAGAAAACGGGGGCTGCGTTTGGAGAGTGAGCACAGGGTTCATTTGGGAAGTGGAGCCTTTTTGGCCTTTTCACTTTGTTACTATTTTAATCTGGAGTTACAAATTCTGGTTTAGAAAATATTTTTTTTATTTTCTGTGCGAAAAAACATAATAATTATGATTTGGAGTTAAAAATTCTTGTTTATAAAAGATTTTTTAATTTTTTGTGCGAAAAAATATGATAATTATAAATTAGATATAATATTTTATTTTAGAATAATATTATATATATAAATTGATATACTAACTAATATATCAATTGATAATGGATATATAATTATAATCAACCCATATTTCCCTAATATTTTGATAGAACAAATCAACTATTTTATTACTGTTTTCCCATTCACTCTTCATCAAAAGAAATTTCCACTCTTACTCATTTTCATATCCAAATACAAAATTTCATGGATATTTAAATGGCATTATGGTATTTCTGATGATATAATTATCCGACAACACTCTGTTAAATGGTGGGATAAGTTCTATCCTCACCGCATTGTTGAAATTGTTCAAGTTGAATTCCCAATTAATCAATGTGTTCCTACTCCGGCAATGATTAAAGCCCAGCAGACCCCAACTGCTGCCATTTCTCAAGGAAGTCCCAGTCTTCCTCCAATCAACCTTGGAAGCCCCTCATCTAGTGGTTCCAAGCCCAATTCATTCAAGTCAAAATTTGCGTCATTAACTGATAAATCAAAGTCCAAGGCTAAGTCCAAAGCTCCTGCAATATCGACTCAGCCCAAGACTCAATCAAAGCCCAAATCAGATAAATCAAAGGCTCCTCCATCCAAGCCCAAGGTTAAACCTGGATCAGCCAGTGATCAACTGCTTCAAATGGCCCGTCTCCTAATGGATCAGGCCCAAGCCCATTTAAAAGATGAACCGTCTGATGATGATCCTCCTACACCGGCCCAGAAGTCCCGTTCAGAAGAAAGTTCAGACAGTTCACAAGGATCAACTAATCAAGACCCATTTGGTCCAGAGTTCCAAGATGCTCAGGATCCATATGCTTAATCAACATTGGATTCCATGTAGATACAAATTAGCTTCAATCAATACTCTTTTGAGAAAAGCTGCTAATTTGTATTTATATTAATTCCTTTAATCACATATTCCATCGAAAGCAATGAATAGTAAAAGTTACTGTTCACTTTACTGTTCATCAATCAACTTTTTTTAAAGCTGCTCAACTGTTCAATCAATCAGCCGAAAGCAACCGAACAT